GACAAATGGAAGAGTCAAGAACAGAATAAAATTATAAGAACAGAGGGTCTGGGAGGACAGTCTATGATCGAAACAATTATAATGTGAAAGAAGGTAAACAAAGAGGAACAGAGATCCAGGTGGTGGGAAGGTCAGGTAGATTACTGGATAAAATACACTATTTTAAATGGAGGGAAGAACTGATGGAATATAAGGTAACCACAATGGGGTTGGGGTGGGGGGGTTTACTTTGGGTGTTGGGGAGGACAATCCAAGAAGGGGGGAGGTGGCAGAAGAACAAGATAGGGGAACACTGAGACAGGTTTGCATGGCCTAGTGGGACAGAGGTAAATAGCGATGCATACTCAACCTTGGAACAACAGGGCTCTGGGATACAGGGATCTAGGTATAGCTTGAAGAAGGGGAAATAATACTAAAATCCTTGACTGCCTTATGAATATTAGTTTCCCTTACCTACTATTGTAAAATAGACACTTGAGTAGGATAGAAAGAAATGTTGGGAAACATCATTACAGAACACTTGAAAGCCCACCTTCAGCCTATAACTGATTGGAATACCTAAACGGGGTTCTACAACTTGCCCAGTGAAATAGGCCTCGTGCAAAGCCTTTACGGAGTATAGGACCATAGGTGGAATCCTGAGTCCCATCTAGAACCTTATGAGGTGAGACATTCCCAATAGGAAGGACAAGCAGACTAGAACAGCTACAGTGACAGAAGATACATCTTCATGATGAACCTGACATATACTCAGAGTGGTAGTTACTCTAAATATCAGCAGAGAGGGAGAGAGTCTTCACATCAAGTATCAATGCTATCCCCTCTGAGCACAGTGTAGATAGGGACGGGTAACTTAGACATTAGCTACGTAAAATGAGGGGGCAATAAAGGCAGGAAGTGACTGGCTTACAAGGTTTCAAGAGGGAGTTTTGTTTAAGAGTATGGGGGGAAAGAAAGAGTCCCCACTGAATAGCTGTCATCTTGTCTAGATGGGTCTGGTGAAAAGAGATGGGGATAGGATTCGTAAGATTCAATGGTGAAGAATTGTTATCATGATTAATCGCAACTGTCACAATTGTAAAGGTAGAAGCTTTTTAACAAAGAAAGGGGAGTGGTTAATCTTATGGTCCAGAAACAGAGGACCCTGGGACCATCATGAGAGAAACGCACAAGCAGAATGCGGGACCTTATCCAGAGAAGCAACAGCGCCAGAGATGGAGGCAGTGACGGGGGCATAGAGACGGGGAGCAGCTGAGGACTCTAGATTCATGGACTAAGAAGAGAAGGACTAAGAGCTGGTGGCCAGGAGGCAAAGTTGCAGAATGATCCCTTTGGAGATGTAAATTATTATATATGCCTGAGTGTTTTTTTGTTGTTGTTTGTTTTTTAAAAAAGCTAAAGTGGATAGAGAGAAATACTGTTAACTGATGGTACATGGAGGGGATTATAATCATTGTAATGAAACAAGATGTACGATTTGTTGAATGTAAAACTGATGATATGCCCTGTAAACTTTCACTTAATTCACAATAAAAACCTTAAAAAAAAAAAAAAAAAAAAAAACAGGACTTAAAAATAATAAAAAAGTTTCTTCAGTTCCAACTTACTGCCCATAGTTGCGAGGACTCCAGCAAGAAAATCAGCAAAATCAGCAAACTCTCCTTGGTCTTGGTCTTCGTTGTTCTGAAGAATCCGCAGACCATCAAAAAACATGTTAGCAGCTTCATAAGGCTGGAGCAACTGCAGTAAGGCATAACCAGCTCGGGAGTATCCCTAGAAAGAGGGTAAAACCAAAACTATAATACATCCCATCTCTTCTAACCTGCTCCTAGAAGGTAAGACAATCTGACTCTAAGTAAACACACAGATCTCCAGCCAGCACTGAAGACAGGATTTCCACTTTATATTCGAGTCACATTTTCCCTGTTATTTTTTAGCTGTAAGATAAGCACTGGACTGCTAACCAAAAGGTCAGCAGTTCAAACCCACCAGCTGCTCCTTGAAAACCCTATACAGGGTGGCTGTGAGTCAAAATCAACTCTACAGCAGACAACAATAACAACCGAAACTAGTCAATTTCAAATCCATGACTTATGAAGCATTGAACATAGGAAACAAAGAAAAGGAAACAGAAGTTGTCCAATTATATGTGTGGCTTATTTGCCAAAGTCTCAAATCAGAGCCTACACAAAGACAGAGAAATAAGAAATCCTACCAATCAATACACTGTTTAAAAAAAGAATGAGCGTTATGCAAACACAAAAGTTGTTCCCTGCTCCTTTCAATCAAAATAAACATAATTTCTACTGAGCATGTAAGAAAAAAATTATAATGATAAGCATTGAAATTTGCTGAGCTCTACATTATATGTAATATGCACCAGAGATTTATTTTTAAATTCCATAGAGGAAAAATTGTGTAAAATTACAATGCTTGATAAAGGGAAATAGCTCATTTTGCATGTATATAAACCATAAGACTCTCGAGTTAGGAATAAAATGACATTTCCTTATTCATTTTGGCCAAGTAAATCTGCATCAAAGATCTACCAAGACAGTTTTATTTCTATAAATAAAAGGTATGTAGCAACAGAGTTCATTTTAAAAAGTAAGCATTTAACATTCCACTTAATATCAAGCCTCTGGTTAGTCACTGATTTGTTTCCATTGTTATTTGAAGGTCTAAAGACTCCAGATAACAGTCAGGAAGGGAGAAGGAATATGGTTTGATTTTTCCAACCAGACAAGCTGGAACAGAATTTCCCATTGCTTTATCTTAGATTTAAGCTTCATCTTTTATTTTGGAGGGAGGGTACTGAGCACACTGGGGAAGGAGGAGCACCAAGGAGTGCTCACTAACAGCAGGAAGTGATCCTGTTTGCTTTATTGTCAGGGACTGCAGCAGATTTGGCCACTCAGGAAGACCCCCAAGATCATCATGCAGGACCCCCTCAGTCTCTTGGGCCATAGCCATAGCCTCCACCCAAGGGAACAGACAGATCTCAAATACTCCCCACTTGCATCTCAAATAAATAAGTAGAAAAATCCTACAACTCTTCTCTAGGAATGCATTCCTTTTTTCAAAGTATCCATCCTCCAACAAAAGAGGTTTGACAAGACAATGCCTAATTGTACTGTTACTGTTTGTTGCTTTCAGTCCGTTCAGGCTCAGGATGACCACACATGTACTGAGTAGGACTGTTCCATCAACTTTTCAATGTTGTGACCTTTTAGAAGCAGTTCACCAGGCCTCTAGGTGCATTCCAACTGCCAATCTTTCAACTAGGAGCCAAGAGCTTAACCATTTAAGCCTCAACTTGTAATGGGAAAGGGAGGGATGGCCAACAGAGCACTCCAACCCCATGGGATTTAGATATTTTACATTTTACTAATTTTTACTAAAAACCCTTCCTATTTTGTTCTGTTTCTAGCAGTCATGAACAAAACATAAACCACTAAAAAATATCTGGGAGTCCCTGGGTGGCACAGGTGAACTATAAACTAAAAGGATGGGGTTCAAAGCCATTCAGAAGTTCCTCCATAGTAAAGCCTGTTGATCTGTTTCCAAAAGGCCACAGTCTTAAAAATCCGATAAAGCAGTTCTCGGCACACATGGGGGTTGCCACGAGTCAGAATCAACTAGACATCAACTAACAATAAAAACAAAACATATCTGGTCTGTTTTCTATTTTCATGCACTTGATGACTAGGATGCTTCTGAAAATAAAAATTCTATTTATTGAGTGCCAATAGTTTTACTTAATGTCTCCTTAATTCTCAAAGCAGTGCTAGAGGCACTATCCCTCTTTACAGTTTAGGAAATTGAAACTTAAAGGGAGAAAAGTAGCTTTTCCAAGTTCTTGTTCACACACAGTAAGGCCTATGCTTTCCTCCACTTTATTATGAACTCTCTATAAACTGCCTATTCTATAGTTAGACAGCTATTACTATGTTGTCTCTATTGGCTTCACAACTGCTGTGCAATTTAATTCCTCTCATTCTGTGTGTATGCTTTTCCTTTCCCCAGTTGAACTGTGAGTTACTCAAATGCTGGGGTGGGGTCTTCTGCTTCTTCTGTTTGCGTATGAGGCACCAAGAATGGTGATGATGCCTTTCAGAGTAGGTACTCTGGTCATTTCAGCTACAACGAAACGCCTAGGCATCAAATGATCATCTATTCAACTTTACTGGCAATCTTAAAGGGTCTGATTTCTACTGTTAAGGAATGTTTTCAAAAGAATGGCGTTCACCATATTGTCATTTGAAATAAAGCTTTGCTAAAATGAAATGTATGAACAGAAAATAATACAAGCAGACTATAAGTTTTGGTGTGGCTTCGTGAGAACAGAGCCAGGCAATAACACTCCATTGTGAGTTCTCCTATGCTTATCTGCCAAGAGCACGCATTCTGCTCTCCTCCTACGCATGCAATTCACTGCTTGGCCAACATCTTTTTTTCTCTTCTCCAAATGACACTCACATGGCTTTAGAAGCAACTGTCTAAAATGCAAAAACAAATTATGAACCACTCTCCTAACACTGGCATCTTTAAAATAAGGGAAGGAGGCAGGTTAAGAGAGAAGGCAGATGCCACCACGCTCAGCAACTACCACATCATACCTTCACATAGGTTGGATCCCACTGGAGACATTCCTTAGCAGAGACGAAGGCTTCATTCCACTTGCCAAGGTTGTAAAATGCATTGGATTTGTTGCACAGCAGCACAGCCACGTTCCTTGGAGGAACACTATGAGAAAGAGCAGGTGGTCCATAAGGCTATCATTGGGCAAATGCAGGAAACAATCGTTACAGGTTGCCACCCTGGTCTGACTCCTGCCATCATGAAGTGTGTCCCAGGCCCTGGAAGTAGTACCCAGGAGTAGGGAATTCCAGAATCCTATTACCCACATCCTGGACCAGAGGGGAGGCAAGATCTTTGGGTGAAGAAGGCCATTGACCCCATAGATACCTGTTAATGGGGAGAGGACCAAACAGGGCCTTCTAAGGCTACATAACCAAGGCAGGATAAGTGGTTAAATTAGACTGGAAAAAGGAAACTGCAAACTCTACTACAATATGGCAACAAAGGTCCCGATGCCATGGAATTCAAGATACACAAAGGAAACAACAAGGCCTACAATTTATTTTTTATTTTAATATTTTAATTGTGAAAGAAATACAAATTACTCTAGAAAAACTGGGTAGTGGCAAATAAACAAAAAAATAAAGCAGAGTAAACCTCAGTTATTGCCCCATTCTCAATGATTTGTTCACCATTCCCACTAGTGAAGAAGCAAGGTTCCAGAAGGGGTAGCAGGGCAGGCAGTGAGCAATTAGCAAGGGAACAGTGGCTGAAAGTGTAGTAGGCACCATGGTGCTTGCTGACACCCTGGCCAGTACATCCATCCCCAAGCTTCAGTGAGTACTGACCACAACTAAGGGCTACCAGCTGCTCTGTTCTCCAGCTAATTACTCTCAATCTAAAAGAGCTGCTTTCTCCCCCAGGAAGTTACATCCCATTCCCCAGGACAAGCTTGGAGCCGGTTAGCCTATAAATGAATAACATGGGGGCGGCAGGGGAAAGGTGGGCTCCCTTGGCCCAAAGTGTGACTAATTCTGTGGTACAATTCATACTCCAGATCTCTCCAAGGGATCAGGCTGCAAGTGACTTCAGTTGAGACATCATCAATGTTTGGAGTTTTCCCTACCCATCCTGGTTCTGTATAAATATATTTCTGCAAAAAAAAAATTTTTTAAACACTCTAACTTCAGTACCAATGCTACCCCATCATAAATTTGAAATTTTGAGGCAGAGAAAGGTACACTGACCTCCCCAAGGCACACAGTTAATAAGTGGCAGAATTGAGATCTGATCACACACAAAGTGGGATCAGTCTACAGCCATAACCACCATACATACAAATACTGCTTTACAAAAGGAAAATGTTTAGCTGAATGAGGAGCACTGAACCCATCTCTGACACTGCTGAGAAGGGTACCAGAAGGGAGCAGAATAAAATCACTACAGTCCAAGCTAATTACTCACACTCAATTTAAGTTCAACTAGACTGGAGAAACAAAGGTGTGATAGGAGGCAGTAGGTGGGAGCCATGTTTCAGTAATTTAATTTGACACCTATGGGCCAAATTAAATTATGACCCACAGATGACAACTTCTGCTTCCTCTACTACAGCAGTTCACCAGGTATGATCTTGGGGCTCCTCAGAGTCCCCAAAACTATTTCAGACAGTCCACAGAACTTTGCAGGTATAATTAAGTATCTTGAAATGGGGAGCTTATCCTGGATTATGATGCAATCACAAGGGTCCTTACAATAAGGAGGCATATAGAGATAACCACCACAGAAAAGGAGAAAGCAATGTGATGATGGAAGCAGAGATGAGAGTGAGGCATGCACTCAAAAGATGGAGGGAGGGAGCACAAGCCAAGGAACACAAGCAGCCCCCAGGAACTGAACTAAGCGATGAAATGGCTGTTCCTGTAGAGCCTCCAGAAGCAGTAGCCCTCCGACAGCTTGATTTTAGCGCAAACTGATTTCAGACATCAAGCCTCCAGAAACATAAAATAATAAACTTGTGTGGTTTTAACCACTAAATATGTCATGATTTGTTACAGGGGCAACAGGGAAATAGTAAAATAATAATGCTAACAACACGTAATGTGTCATTTTCACACTCATTCTTGTACATGTATACGGGGGAGTTTCAGAGACTACACATCATGTGCTATCACAAAAAAATCTGAGCACAGAAGCAAACGTGAAAAGCCAGTTGTCTTCTCTTGAGGCAGACAATGATCAGAGAGATTTGTAAAAACGAAAATGATGTCACTCTTCTCACTACTTTTTTTTGTTGTTTTGGAAGGTATAGTTAATTTTCATAAAAATATGTTGTTTATGTTAACATGAAATGGGTTTAGTATTGCTATTTTTAAATAAATTAATAAATACATATTCTTAAATTTTCTTAGTCTTAATGTTCTAATATAGACCATATTGGACCATAGTTCTTGTGTTAAATGTCATCGAGTTGGTTCCTACTCATAGCGACCCTGTAACAACAGGGTTTCAAAGGCTGTAAATCTTTGCAGGAGCATAAACCTCATCCTTCTCCTGGACTATAATAATAGCTCCAAGCAAAGAGCTACAAAACATAGCTCCTTCAGGGGCCTCAATAATTTTTAAAAAGTAAAAGGTTCTAAAAAACACCAAATGTTAATGCCAACTTTACTAAAAGCTAAAAGGGCAGGGGGAAAGAAGGTGAGCCTCACTGTTCAGATGATGTGCACCTGTGGCCAGGAGGAAGGGCATGGATTGTCCAGAAGATGAAATGCATGACAGCAAGGTCAGAGAACTTGGGCCATGCCAGAAATTCTGGTCCCTAACCCAAAGGAAAGAGAGGCTTTGTTATGTTTATGAATAGTTTCTATTTTCCTTCTTACAAGGATATTCTTCATTCAATGTCTGAGCGCACAAGGCAGAGAAGATAATACGAAGCGAGAGGAAGAAAGGAAACAAAAACAAGGCCATGTGATAAGAAATAAAAAAGAAACATCAGCAACAGAGTCCCCCAATGGCTAAGAAGAAATAGATGCAGGCAGGGGTAGGGGGTAGGTAGAGGGAAATCCAAACACTTACCCCCACTGGTATAACTGCAGAAGAATCTGGATGGCTTCATCGTACTTTCTTATGGCCAAAGAGAAGTTTCCATTCTTAAAGCCCTGGTTGCCAGATTCTTTCAACATCTCAGTGTAAATTGTCACATCCATCCTGTGAGGGGACGAGGAAAGGCTGGATGCCAAGCCCTCGGGGCACGGCATGGCTCTGTGCTCACCTTCACATCCATCTGCAGCATTGAGAATCTGGGGAGGTAGCTGGCTGGCTCTAGCCCCACCCACCTTGGAGTGCACACCCCAGCACCACCCCTCATACACCAGGGGATCAGACAGGGTGTCTGACAAGACTGTATCTTTCTCAGTTCTTTCTGCCTCACAGACAGCCAGACCAATTCCATTAATTCAGTCTTTACAGTTCATGAGGCTCTGAGCGAGGCTGTCTCCATGAACGAGACAACATAACCTGCAAGTGGAAAGGACTGAAGAACTGGCAGCTGCTCCTATAACTGGTATTATTATTATTACTCTTTCATTTAGCCATCACCACAACCCATAAAAAGGCACTGTTCTCACTGTTTAGATGAGGACACCGAGATTCAAAGAGCCTCAAAATCAGTCATTGAAAACCCTATGAAAGATGGTTCTAACACGAGAGCTGGCCAACTCCAAATTTTTGCTCTTACCTACCATATCATATCATCTATTGTTGTTGTTAGTCATCGCTGAGTCAGTTCTGACTCTAACAACCCTCTATAGGGTTTCCAAAGCTGTAAATCTTTATGGAAGCAGAAAGCCTCGTATTTTCCCTCCTTTGTTACTATCACCTACTGGTAAAAACAAAAGCCCGTTTCTACTCCTTCTTAAGAACAGTGGGGTATGTGAAAAGAGATATGTTTTCAAAGACTTCAGTATATAAGACACTAAAACATGGAGAAAGAGCCCGAGTCCGAGAGATACAGTAGTTTAGCACTCAGCTGAAGAACACAGAAACACAACCACTGCCTCTCCTGCTCTATCCCTTCAAAACCTATGTTAAACTTTCTCATGTGGCATTGCTACTGCTTGTTTGATTATCTCCAAAAAATACTTGATTCTTTCAGGTCAAAATTATCCCTGTCAAAATGCAAAATTTCACCTATACTTTTTTATCTAATCTTTAAATTGAATGACTCACATCTATATAGGGATGAATGAGGGAAACTTGAAAAAATTTAAAGATTTATTAGAAAATAAAAATGTTTCTCTTTCAAATATAGTCTAAAATATTTGTCAATGATATTTTAAAAACTGGCTATGATCAGAAAACTATGGGGAAAAAAGTCACTATAACAACTGACAAAAAGATACCTCTCCTTTATAAATACCGTTTCACTGCAAGAAAAGATCAACACCCTGACCAAAATGTGTTTTGTCCTAAACAGACCATTCACAAGAGAATAAATATAACAGCTAAATATCTCGATAGAAGATAAAGAAGACCACCCTCACTAGCTATAAAATAAATAAAAACGAAAGGATTAAGACATCACTGGAAAAACTTTTTTTTTTTTTTAAATTATACCAAACATTGAGAGCTGCCATACACTGCTTATATACTACAGCATGGATGGATGAGTCTCATGGGTGGTCACCACAGTGAAAAACTCGAAATAACCCTAAATGTTTCATAACATATAATGGACTTTCATCAGTTATAGAACAACCATACAGTACAACACTATGCAGTTATTTATAAAACCATTTGTAAAAATAACTTAAAGATAGGGTAAATTGATAAATGAAAAATACAAGCTACATACAAGGGTGTACAAACCCAAATCAGGTTTTAAGCACATACGCAGGGTTTCAAAACCATCATGGAAATTTTCATTATCTTTTAATTCCATTTTGCCATGAACTTTCTGAAATCCTCTCGTACAGTGCATTAAATATGCCAACATGTTAATACCATGGTGATTAGGCAGGGCTTTAATGTTTCTCCTTTGTACTTTTCTGTACTTCCAACTGTTCCTAAATACTAGATCATAAACAGATCATAAATCTTAAATGCTAAATTAGACTGTTTAATTCAAGAATGTTGATCTTATTACATACCATCAATTCTGCTGACACACATAGTGACTCTATTAAAACAGAATGAAACACTATCTAATCCTGCACCCTCCACACAATCATCGCTATGTTTGAACCCATTATTGCAGTCACTGTGTCAATCCACCTTGCTGAGGGTCTTCCACTTTTTCACTGGCCGTCTACTTTACCAAGCAAAGGATAAATGCCCTCTTGATAAATGTCCAAAGTACATAAGACAAAGTCTTGTCATCTCGCTTTTAAGGAGCATTCAGGCAGTACATCTTCCAGGACAGATCTGTTCATTCTTCTGGAAGTTCATGGTATATTCGATATTCTCTAGTCTTCTTTATTCACGATGCAGCATGCATATGAAGAAATTGAAAAGACTATGCAGCAGATTTGTCCAAATACATCCTTTGATTTCTTGACAGTTACTTCCAAAGTTATTGATTGTGGATCCAAGTCAAATGCAATTCTTGAAAATTTAATCTTTTCTCCACTTATCATGATGTTGCTTAGTGGTCCAGTTGTGAGAAGTTTTGTTTTCTTTGTTGAGGTGTAATCCATAATGAAGGTTGTAGTCTTAAGTCTTAATAAGTAAATACTTTAAGTCCTCCTCACTTTGAGCAAGCAGGATGTGTTGTCTGCATATCACAGATTGTTAATGAGTCTTCCTCCATTTCAGATACCACATTTTTGTCCACAGTCCAGCTTCTCGGATTATTTTCTCAACATATAGATTGAATAAATATGATGAAAGACTACAACCCTGAGGCACACACCTTTCCTGATTGTAAACCACCCAGTATCTGAATAAATATGGTGAAAGAATACAACCCTGAGGCACACCTTTCCTGATTGTAATCCCCTTGGTCTAGCTGAACCACTGCCTGTTGGTCTATGTACAGGTTCCACATGAGCACAATTGTTCTGGGGTTTCCATTCTTTGTAATGTGACCCATAATTTGTTATAATCCACAGTCAAATGCCTTTGCATAGTCAATAAAACACAAGTAACTATCTTTCTATCATTCTCTACTTTCAACCAAGATCCACCTGACATTAGCAATAATAGTCCTCATTCTATGGCTTATTAATCTGGCTTGAATTTCTGGCAGTACTCTGCTGACATACTGTTGCAACTATTTTTTAATTACCTTCTGCAAAATTTTATTTGTGTGTGATATTAATATTGCTTGACAATTTCCACATTTTGTTGATCACCTCTATTTGAAATGTGCACTAATATAGATCTTTTCTAGTCAGTTGGCCAGTTAGCTGTCTTCCAAATTTCTTAGCATAGTCAAATGAGTGATTCCAACATAGCATTGTTTGTTGAAGCATTTCAATTGGAATCCCAACAATTCCTGGAGACTTGTTTTTTATGTGTGTGAGTTGGTTCTACCTTTAATATCATCATACGTTCTTGAACATACACTACCTCCTGAAATGGGTGAATCTCAACCATTTCTTACATGTACAGTGATTGTGTATTCCTTCCCTCTTCTTTTGATGCTTCCTGTGGTCCCTGGTCTTGTTCTGGTTGATGCTATTGAGCTTCTCCATCATCTCTTTCCACAGATGTCGTCAATTTGATTCCTGTATATTCCATCCAGCGAAGTGCAGTGTGTATAGTCACCATTTATGTTGTTGAAAAAAGGTATTGCAATGAATAAGTCATTGGTCCTGAAAATTGTTATGATGTACTCTCTAGAGTCATTTCTATCACCAAGGCAATATATGCCAGTTAATAGCCTTCTTCTGTTTCCAACTATCACATACCAGCCACAAGGAACTATCAGTGCATTTGTTTATCAACTGCAGACTGAAGACGGTGGAAAAAGTCTTCATCTTGGATACTAGTGGTTGATGCATAAAGTTGAATAATAGTCATATTAACTGGTCTTCCTTATAAGCATATGAATATTATCATATCACTGACAGTTTTTTACTTCAGAATAGATCTTGAAATGTTCTTTTTGATAATGTATATGATGAGATTCCTCTTCAATCTGTCATTCCTAGCATAGTACACCATGATTGTCCAATTCAAAAAGCTCATTTCCAGTCCACTTCAACTCACTAATGCCTAGGATTATGCATTCCAATATTTGACAAATTTCTTGGTTTATACTTTGTACATTCCACATTCCAGTTATTACTGGATGTTTGCAGCTGTTACTTCTAATTCTGAGTTATGCCACATCAGTAAATGACAGTACCTAGAATGGTGCTGTTGGCTAAGTACTGGACTGCAAACCACAAAGTCAACAGTTCAAAACCACCAGCTGCTCTTTGGAAGCCCTGTACAGGGTCACTATGAGTCAGAATCATTTTGACAGTACTTAACAACCACAACAGAGCTTTACTACATCCATGTCATCAGAATGAACTTCTTTAAGGAGGGCTTCTTTCCCAGTCATGTCTTGAGTTTCTTCCAATCTGAGGGGCTCATCTTCTGGCACTATCTCAACAACATTCCAGTGCTATTCAAAATCAATAATTTCAACTGTATTTACAAATACAGAAAAAAATATCCATCTAGTTTCTTTTCATATTCCTCTAGAAACCAACAGTGAAGTCTTGACATTTTGTGGAAAAAGATGAAATGTATTTTCCTACCTGTTTCTGCTTTCTCTTGGTACAATGATGTCAAAGGGGTAAAGGGATTGTCAACACATAAAGATTTTTACTTCTTAATAGGATTCATAGGATTAATTGAGTGCTACATACTCATTATAATAATCTCTGTCCCTTTGAATCTCTGTCCCTATAATACTTGCATCTCAGTTTTGGGGTCTTAAGAAACAAAGCACAAAAAAATTATACAGTCCGTTTATAAAACGAAGCTACTAAATACAAATGGTAATAACTACCATAATAACAGTACTCAGTTGCTAAAATATACAGAACATCTGCTATATGCTTTACACCAGTTTAGTATTTCATTTGTACAAGAAGCCCTGTAAGACAAGCACAACTGTGTTCCCAATTTAAATACAGAAAAACTGAAGGAAAGAGAGGTTAAGCTACTTGCTCTCAGTCACTTGGAAATTGGTAGCAATTGATTTCAAATCCATGTGGCCTGACATTAAGAACTAAAAACTACACTCTAAAGCAGAGGTAGGGAA